ATGTGGTGAAAAGAAGGAAAAGCAGTAAAAATTCTGAGCAAATATTCTATCATTAAAATTTGCTCAAAGAAGCTCGGTAAAATATGAAGTTTTGAAATGTATCCTCCTTTTTCCTAGTCTCATACGTTTCCGTTTTGATTTCTTAGAGGGACTTTTAACCAAAAGAATAGTGTCATTTCAAAGTTGGATGGCTTAATGAGTTAACAAATCTGTGTTTCTACTGTATAGGGTTTCAAGGAGAAGCTGGTGAGCTTGAACCACTGACCTTGCAGTTCAAACGACTTTGCAGTCTGACACATTAGCCCACAGCGCCATACTGACCTCAATAAAATGATTGTGAGGATTAAATGATATAATATTTACATAAATAAAGCACAGAGCCTAGTACCCAATACATAAACAGTCCTTAAAGTAGGTATCATAAGAAGAGAAAGAGAGCTTTCATATGCAGAAGGTACTTTAAAATGATAGTTTATGAGACAAGTTAATTGATTAATGGCTAGTGTTTCTTTTCTTTTTAATTCACTCAAATAGAGTGCATTTAAAAATTAATATTCTTAATAAAATGTTTCAGTAGTTAGATATGCACTGCTCATTCTGTTACAATCTTTACCAACCACATAATTGGCTTACACATACCTCGTGAGCAAAGCTGTGTTGTTATCTGTTTGCTTAAGGTCTGAATTCTATGAAGGTAGGTTCTATTCATATTAAGAAACATCATAAAGTTTATCTCAACCCCTGCACATGAATTTACTTTAAATTTTTTACAAGTTAAAAAATAAAACAAGATTTCCATGAATTCTGAACCATTATTTACATGGCAGACTTAGATCATTAGAGTAAAGTAAATAAAGAGCCTGTGTTTTGAACATGTGCTTACACAATTAACCACAATGGAATCCAGGTCTCTAGTTAAAGTCTTTAAGTCAACAGCACTCCTTTATAAAGAATTGTTTAAATCAGCAAGTTCAAAATACACTGTGTAATTTATTCTAAGAACCATCGGGTTGTGTTACAATGATTGGAGCTTTCGCCATGTCTTGCTTCAATACTCCCCAGTCAAATTCAACCAGAGATTTACAAAATGGTGATTATCGTTTTGTGAACTAAAACCCTGTAGAATTATGTTCTTAATGGAATTCTGGGCTATCACTGTTGTTTCTGGAGAAAGCATAAATTTCCTAGTAAGGAAACCATTGCCATTTAAAAGAGAAAAAAAATTTCTTGAGAGTGACAATAGAAGGAAGTGCATATTAGAATTGAAATTTATACAGGTCCTTTAAGAAAATGTTGGCAGTGTAACTCAAAAGCTTTAAAAATATTTGAACCTATAATTCAGTACTTTTACTTATGGAAATTTATTCTGAAGTAATCAAAATTGTCAAGGGATTTCTGATGAAATTCATTGCTTCAGGATTGTCACAGACACCATGCTGCAATGAATGTAAACAAATTATTAGGCTGAACCATATGAAGTTGCCATTTTGCAGATATAAACAACTAGATACCAGAGATTTCATACAGTTCAACCCAACAATTGCCAAGAATCTGAATGCAGACAAGCACATTGGTCATTTTTCCTGGAGGTCTATGAACTCTGAGTTTAGATATTGGTTGAATCTACTTCAGTAGCCTTAAGCATTTAATTTTCTTAGTCTCAACTCTTTAATCTGTGAAATAGGGATAGTAGCACTGTCTTCAAACCATTAGCCTTTGTTTGTCATTCAAATCCATAGATCTGAAGCAACCATTATTGATTGTTTTACTATGGATGCATTTTTAGCTTGAAGATATGAAAAATATCAGTGACTGATTTTCCTTGGGAAGTATTTTTCTAATACAACTTTTCATAAGAATTAGAGTTTACAGATGGAAAGTTAGCATTTTTTGCTAGGAAGTGACTTGTAATCTTTCCTGCGCTCCCTTCCTCCAAAATCTTTTCTCAGTAACCAATGATTAGTTCTCTGGGTGGTGCTGCAGGTTAATGCGTTGGACTGCAAATTCAGTTTGAACTGCAAGATCATTGGTTCAAGCTCACCAGTTCAAGCTCACCAACTGCTTCTCGGAAACCCTTTACAGGTCGCAATGGGTTGGAGTTGACTCTATGGCACTTAACAACAACAACACTATAGATTAATTTGTATTTTCTAGGACTTTTTTAAAATTATGATTTACATACTTTTTGACTTGCTTCTTTCACTCCACATGGTTAAGATTTATTCATGCTATAGCTTCTTGTTGTTAAGTGCCTTAAAGCCAGCTCTGACGTAGGGTTTCCTAAGAGGCATGGGTTACCTTTTGGTTCAAAAGGACCTTGCAGTCCAGCGCATTAACCCACAGGGCCACACAGCAGGACTCTCTTATGTGATCAAGTAGTATTCTATTAAGGAGTTCTGGTGGCACCATGGTTAAGCACTCAGCTGCCAACTGCTAAACAAGAGGTCATGTTTTGAACCCACTATTGATCTCTGGGAGAAATTATACCTGGTAGATTGCTCAGATAAGTATTTCAGACTAGAAAACATTATGGGGCAGTTCTACTCTACCATACACGGTCACTATGAGTTGAATGTATTTGATAGCACACCATTAATTGAATAGACCAGTTTGTTTATGCATTCATCACCTGTTGAGGGACGTGTGGATTCTTTCCAGTGTGGTACTATGCAAATGAAGCTGCTGTACTATTGTAGTAAGAAATAAAGTTATGTTAGCTTTCCAATTTTGTCTTACCCCCACACACATACTATAAAATTTAAGTATATAATTAAGGGATCTTTTACCATAATCTAGGTTTATTGTTGAGTGCCATCAAATCGGTTCTGACTTATGTTGTTGTTTTTAAGTGCCGTTGAGTCTGTTCCGACCCATAGCGACCCTGTACAGGGTTTCTGAAGCTGTAAATCTTTACGGGATTAGAAAGTCTCATCTTTCTACCATTGAGCAACTGATAGTTTTGAACCGCTGACCTTGCTGTTCATAGCCCGATGCGTAACCAGTAAGCTACCAGACTTATAGTGACCCTGTACAAGGTTTCTGAGGAGCGACGGGTAGCTTGAACCACTGATGTTGCGGTCCAACCCATTAACCTACAGCGCCACACTAGGTTTAAGACACTTTACTCACTCCACAATGGATTTTTGTGTCAATTTGTTAGTCTTTGCCCCCTACCCAAATTCTCAGGCATTGATGTATATGGTTTTTATCTAGTTTTAACTTGCCTCAACTCAAATCTCGCTGCCACCTAGTCTCTTCGGATTTAGTGACCTGGTTTCTGAGCTATAAAGAGTAGGAAGTAGAAAACCTCATCTTTCTCTCACAGAGCCACTGATGGATATGAACTGTCGACCATGTAATTAAAAGTCCAGTGCTTATCCTATAACACCATCTGGGCCCCTTATTGACTTGTCTAGGGATTATAATTATAAATGGAATAATACTATACACCTTTTTTCTGACTTCTTTCATTTCGTATGATGTGTTTGAGGTTCATCCATGTTGTAACATATATCTGTTGTTTCTTCCTTTCTGTTTGAATGTTGTTGTTGTCAAGTGCCGTCGAGTCGGATCCGTCCCATAGTTTCCGAGGAGCGACTGGTGAGCTTGAACCACCGACCTTGCAGTTCAAACAGCTTTTCAGTCTGGCGCATTAACCCACAGTGCCACACCAGGACTCCGAATAGTAGTCCCTTTTTTGGTTTTGTTTCTGATCTGCTACATTTAAAAATCATTTATCAGTGAATGGTGATTTAGACTGCTTCCAGGTTTTGCATATAAAACTTTTAAAAACATTTGCATACAAAATAAGTCGTGATTCCTAGAGCAGCTGTTTTAAATCTCAACTGTATGTTATCATCACCTGAGGAGTTTGCAAGACCCAGACCAGAAGAATTAGAATACCTTGGATTGAGTACGAATGTACTTTTAAAAAGTTCCCCACGTCGTTATCATGTTCAGAAGGGTGGAAAAGCTCTAGGAATGTGTGTGTGTGTATGTGTGTGTGTTTTTGTATGTTGAGGGGTGATGGTGTGTGGTGATGTGGAGTGGGCCGGGAGAAAATCCAAATCAATCAGCAAAGTCTTCCCCAGAGTTGCAATAGAAAGGTGTTTTTGAAATAGTTTCAACATATTACTGCTTAGAAAAAGTTTCAGATGAGGGCACTCAAAGAAATCTTTCAAATACCAGATTAAAAGTATATATGACACACCATCCAAATTTGCATGTGGAAATAGAACAGAATGCGTGAGAAGAATTTGAATCTGAATCAGTTCCCATGATTATCGATCCATTCTTTTGGCCCAGTTCTGGGGCACAGGTAAAGGAAGCATCTTTCGACTAGGTAACACATTTGCCGCCTATCAAGATGTGCTTTCTTACTTGTATTGACTGTGATGCTAAGCTGAAGACTTCAAACTGAAGGAAAGGAGAAGCCAACATTCAAAGTTGGTTTTGAGAAGAGTAAAACTGGGGAAGAGAACTCAATTCTTCTTTACTTTAAGAAAAGCGTGGAAGAGGGAGTGAAAAGAATTTTTTAAAGATACACGTAAAGAACTCATGGGGACGAAAGTAAATTAAAGGCGCGTCTTTGAGGAAGGGAAAGTTTCTGGTGTCTTCCACCGCAGCCGCCCCTCCTTCCAGTGGTCTCCACTCTCCGCCCCTGGCCCTCCCCGGGGCTCCACGCTGGGCCACTGGACTAGGTGGGCGGGGTAGCCTGGCAGCCTCGGTTTCGCTGGCTCCAAACGCACTCCAAACGTAGGGGCATTCACTTCGGGCCGCGCCCTGGGCTTCTGCGCTTCTTCGCGTTTCCAGCTCCGGGACGCAGGCGTTCCCAATTTGCTCTGGGCAGAGTGGGAAACTTGGTCCGTGAGTGGGTGGGGGGCAGTGCGACCGCGGCCCGTCCCCCTGCCCCCCATCCCCACCCTCAGGCAGGGTTAACTCCGGACTGCAAGCCCAGGCCTGGCCTTCTATCTTTATCCCTCGACAGCAACTTCTCCGGAATGGAGCAGTCCCATTGTGGCAGCAGCGATCGTAGCACTAGCGGCCGACCCCAGCTGGCCCCGGGCCTGGTGGCAGCTGCCCCTCCGCCCCTGTCCCCGGCGTTGTCGGTGTCCCCGGGGATGGCTGTTCCTCCTGCTTTCCTCCGGCCGCCGAGCCTTTTCCTACGGGCAGCCGCCGCCGCCGCCGCCGCTGCGGCCTCGGGGAACGGAGCCTGTCCACCAGCGGCCGGGCTAGAGAGAGGGGTGGCGGCGGTGGGCTGCGGGTACCCGCGGACCCCCAAGTGCGCTCGCTGCCGTAACCACGGCGTGGTGTCGGCGCTCAAGGGCCACAAGCGCTTCTGTCGCTGGCGGGACTGCGCTTGTGCCAAGTGCACCTTGATCGCCGAGCGCCAGCGCGTCATGGCCGCCCAGGTGGCGCTGCGCAGGCAACAGGCACAGGAGGAGAGCGAGGCCCGTGGGCTGCAGAGGCTCCTGTACTCTGGACCCTCGGGGTCAGAGGGTCGGACATCCAGAAGCAGCTGCGGAACCGAGGATCCCCCTGCCGCCGGCGCCCCTGCGGCGGTGACTGCGCTGGGACTGGGGGCCATGAGGCAAACTCCCGCTTTTGAGGTTTTCCAGCCGGACTATCTGGAGGAAAAACAAGGTGAGCTGCTTTTTTTTTTGGCTCTTTGTACAAGGAAAGATTGCTCTGGAGAAAGAACTTTTTGAAACAAGCAGCTCTGTCTTAAGAGAGAGAGCTGGTTTTTTTGTTTGTTTTAAGTACTTATTGCGCTTTGGGGAGCTTCTAGCTGTAATCTTCACTTAGGAAGCGCTGGCTGTTTGGTTCCTGAGGTTAAGGTAATGAAAGAGAAGCCAGCCGGGATAAAAACTGATGAACAGCTCGAAGACTGGAGTAGTTGGGTAGACCTTTCTCTGTCCGAGTCGAACTTCCAGCGAGCCTTGAGCGAAAACCTCATTCAGTGGGAGGTACTGTGTTTTACGCTAGCTCTGTAGTCCGCTTCTAAAACCAGAAGTGATCAGTTGCTCCTGCCTGGGAGATTCACGGATATTTCTGTAACTTTCGAGCAAATCCTTGGGCCAGGTTAAGCCCCAAACCACTGCCAAGTCGATTCCAATTCATAGTGACGTCATACAGGGTTTCCAAGTCTGGAAATCTTTACCTAGCAGAAAGCCTTATCTTTCTCCGCAGAGCAGTTGGTGGGTTTGAGCCCCGGACTTTGCGGTTAGCAATCCAGGGCTTATCCTAGAAGAAGCAAAAAGAGCCCTGGTAATACAAAGTCTAAGCACTCAGTTAACAGAAAGGTGAGCCGTTTGAACCCACTCGGTGACTCCTGGAAGAAAGACTTGCCTTTTGTTCAGCTTAAAAACCTCTGGCTAGTCATTCTTTGTCAAATGGGGTTACTAAGTATAAAAAATGGACTCCCGGACACCTAGTGACACCACAAGGGAAGAGACTGAAAGATGAAGGCTTTTTGCGCCCTCTCATCTTAAATCTCTCCCTTACCAGCTGTTTATGTTTATGGTCCTCTTCTCAAAGCTCTAATATTTAAAGTTGTAAATGTTTCCATAGGGGGAAACCCACCAAACTTTAGATTCGCAATATTTGTAAAAGTATTGGTAAGAATTGCAAAGTCCAGTAATGGGGTTTTCTTGCCCGAGGAGGTTTGAGATTTAGGTTAAAAAAAAAAAAAAGTTTTTTTTGTTTTTTTTTTGTCAAGACAATTTAAAATTAACTTTTTTGGTTGATGTAAATTGCACTGAATTTTAACCAATTTTACAGTGCTTTCCACTGGGCTTACTAGCAGTGAAAGTGCCATATTACTGTATGTAAATATTAAGAACAGGTTGTGTCTTGGACTTGTCTAATAATGATACTAAAATCCACACCAACTGCCATTAAGTTCAGTCAGACTCACATCAAGCAGATAGGACAGAGCAGGACAACTTCTTAGGGTTTCAGAGACTTTAAATATTCACTGGGACAGACACCTTCAGAGGGGTTGGTGAATTTCATCCTGGGACTTGGTGCTTAGCAGCCCAGTGTCTATTATCCACCAGTTTTCTTAGGTACAGTCAGATATTAACTAGAAAATTTCCCTGAGAATAAAAATTGCAGATGTTAACAGATCCCAGGCTGTGTTTTTAACAAAGAATATCTGTATTTAAACGAACCATATACCATTTTGCGTTCACAAAGCCAATTTTTTGAACATGTTCTTGTTTACTTTAGTAGAATAAAAATAAGACTTTTAACATTTCTTATGAAAGATCAGAGGACTGAAGAGTAAACTGATTAAGTAAAACTGCTTTAAAAGAAAATCAAACTAAATTAACAGTGCTATTTGCATGTTCCAGAGAGACACATGTGAGGATTTGGGTGGGTGGGGTAACCAAAGCATTCAGTTTTATAAAATTTCTTATTTGCTTGAGATAACCTGCCCATAAAAGCAAGTCACTTTTTGAAAGGTTACCTCAATGTTGTTTTCTAAATTGACTGTCTCCTATTACACAATATCCATGAATTGATTTAATTTACTCATTGATTTAATTTCCTCATTCATTAGACAAAGACTAACTGAGTGACTCAAAAGTGAATACACAAAAGACCCTTATATTCAAAAGGAGGAAGATTGGATATATCAAAAAACTACAATACAAGGCATATGATGCAATGATAAAAGCAATGCAAGAAGTAAAGCTATAGCAGTTCAGAAGATAGAAAGATGAAGTAAACAGTATCACAATATTTTAAAAGCATCTTATTTTCAAAATAGTCATAATACAATCAGCATTTCATGAACACAATAGCTAGAAAATTATTTTTATGTATAAGTTGCTGCAGAGACGAAATTGTATTTTTGTGTTCAGGGATATATGTTTGATTACATATAAAATGGAATGGAGGGGATCATTGCCTGTCTAGTGTAATTTACAATGAAAATCCTTGTAATTTTTGAGTAACTGTTGCTTTAAATAAAACACTAATTCTTAAATAATAACCTGCCTAGTGGAGCTAGGCAGGCATTGGCCCCTCCATTCCATTTTACAGTCAGTCAAACAAACATGCTCCTGAACATGTCCTGTGCTTAATACAGAGTCCGGGTGTAGGATCAGCACTGGTCTGCTAGCCACAGGGTCAGTGGTTCAAACTCATCAGCCGTGACTCGGAAACCTTATACACAGTCACTATTAATCAAAACTGAATTGATGGTACTTACCAGCAACATAGTAGTGAAACTGGCACAGTGTTCCGTTCTGCTGTGCATAAGGTCGCTATGAGTCGGTACCGACTCGATGGCGCCTAACAACAACAATCAACAACATGCTTGGTACAATGATAACATGATCCTCAAAGTGTTATATCACACACAATTCCTTTACTTAAAAAAAAAAACAACAAAAAACTATAGTTAATTATTTAAAATTTAGGTCTTATTCATAAGAAAACTGGAGAAAACACTGTAAATTTCCATTTTAAGTCATAGCTTTAGGCAAATACATTTATTTATGTAATTAACTAATTTTCTTTTTTTAAATGTTGGTAAAAGTATACACAGCGAATTCCATGTCTCTAATTCAGTGACACTGATTGCATCCTTTAAGATGTGTCACTATTCTTGCAGTGGGTTCTTGGAAAGGCCACCAAAGGCACATGCAACAAAAGACAAAATAGATCAATGGAATCTCATAAAAATGAAAAACTCCTGATCATTGAAGGAATTCGAGACAGCCTACAGATTGGGAGAAAATTTGGGGAACTATGTACTAAACAGGATGTAATATCCAGAATTATTATAAAGTACTCCAACATCTTAACACTGTTCCACTGGCATTGAAATGCTGATGGCATAGCTTCCAGCCTCAAAGCAACAAATGAGTCAGCAAAATACAAGTCTGACAGACACCATGATAAAAAGAAAAACTATTGATGCTGTTCAGGATTCATTATAGTTGAATCAGCAATCAGCATTCATGAAAATATCCATGAAGAAGTCAAATGACATATTGCATTGGGGAAATCTATTGCCAAATACTCCCTTTAAAGTGATAAAAACCAAATAAGTCACTATGAGGACTTTAGTCCAATGGTATTTGCCCAGTGGTATTCCCAGTCATCTCATACTCCTGTGAGAGCTGGTGAGTGAGTAAAGACTGAAGAAGAGTTGATACCTTTGTGTGTAGTGTTGGTGAAGAATATTGCATGTGCCACAGACACCCAAAAGAATGGATGAATTTGCTTTGGAAGATGTACTGGAGGGAGCAGTCTCTGGAGAAGGACGCCAGACTTGATCAGCAAAAAAGAGGAAGCTGCTCAATAAGATGAATTGACACAGTGACTAACACTGAGCATCTGGATCAGTCTATGTTTTCTTCTGTTGTACATGTCATTGTTGTTAAGTGCCCTTGAGTTGCTTCCAACCCATAGCAACCCTTTATAGGGTTTCCAAGGAGTCGCTGGTGTGATGCTGTGGGCTAATGCTTCAGACTGCAAAGTCATTTGAACTGCAAGGTTTATGGTTCAAGCTCACTAGCTGCTCCTTGGAAACCCTATACTGGGTTGCTATGGGTCAGAATTGACTCGACGGCACTTAACAACAACAACAAGGAGCAGCTGGTGAGTTTGAACCACTGACCTTGCTTATCCTATAGTGCCACACCAGGTTCCTCTGTTGTACATGTTGTTGTTAACTGCTGTCGAGTCAGTTCCGAACCATAACGACCCTGTACAAGGTTTCCGAGGGTGGGTCGATGTCAGTTGGAACTTAATCTATGGCACCTAAGAACAACAATAACAATAACTTCCTTAATGACCCATTCAAAAAATGGGCAAAGGACCTGAATGGACGTTTTACCAAGAGGATATTCAAATGACCACCAACCATATGAAAAGATAGGCACTACACATTTTGTTGCACTTACAAGCTTTATAGAAAATGAACTTTTGGACAGAAACTGTAGGTAATTCTCTTGATAGTTTCCCCTTTCTCATGGAAATAGTTAATATCTGTCTATTAGATAAGAGGAAATTGAAACCAAAATAAAAGTTATTTAGCTACTGTGTACATTATTATTTTCCTGGCATTAGCCTGTCAGAAGAATATAAAATATACTTTTTCTTTCTTAATTTCATATGCTCAAAATGTTGAGTAAGAAACTTCAGATTTTTATAGAAAACTGTTTTCTAGACAATTTCCCATTACTGTTGGTGGAGTGTTAGTGGAGACCTGGTGTTGTACTGTAAGTTAATGCGCTGCACTGCAAAGTCAGTTTGAACCACAAGGTCAGTGGTTTAATCTCACTAGCTGCTCCATGGGAACCCTATACAGGTCACTAGGGGTTGGAAACACCTCGGCAGCACTTAATAACTATGACAACAAATTCGGGGAGTATTAGTGTAGTGCACTGGTTGTTTAATTGCAATGTAACTGGTTCAAACCCACCAGCCACTTCTTGGAAACGCTATACGGGATCAGGGATCATTATGAGTTGTAATTGACTCTACTGCACTAAACAACAACAACAGCAACAGTGGAGTTGTGTGATGGAAAGCAAATGACTAGCATGGTTTTTGTTTTTTTTTTGAATGTGAGAAATGATTTTATTAGGTAGATTTGTCCTGCTTTTCACAATGTCTATCTGAAGTATGTGATTGTGAATTTAAAGAGACAAAGAGCAGAATCTTGGGCATACTACTGTGGATCGTCTCTAAAATTGTAGGGATCTGCTGAGCAGTTACAGTCCTGGTGTGACACTTTAGGATAAGCATTGGATTGCTAACCATAAGGTCAGTGGTTCAAACCCATCAGCTGCTGCTCAGAAACCCTGCATAGAGTCACCATGAGTCGGAACCAACTCAATAGCACTTAATAACAACAACAATAGGCCTCATTTATGCCAGTAGGAAAATAGAAACAGTAATATGATTTGTTCTATTCACAGAGTTCATGAAGAGAACAAGGCAACCCAATACACAGAACACTCAACATTCTGGAACCATGAGCTGTCATTCTCATTTTATCATTAAACTGGTGCTATCCCCTCTGAGCAAGTCAATGAGGCCTTAGCGGACTCAACAGAAGCACATCTAACTAGCGACAATGATAAAGGAGGCAATTCCTTAACTGCAGCATTCTTTTAAATGGCTCTTGGTATATAATACTAATGAAAAGTAAGATCATTCCAAAGAACCTTGATTTCTTTTTGATCATTAATTTTTTTAAGTGTTGTGAATTGAATTATAGTTTACATGGGAGAACACTGGTTTTACACTCATTGTTTCATTGCAATGATTACCATCTCCTCTGTGCATCATCATTGAACTAGCATGTTAGTTGTACAAAATTTTGAAGATTCATACAGAGTCCAGGAATGTTGCTTCCTATTTTGGAAACAACAGGGCTCTAAAATATTTTTTTGCTCTTTTCTAGGAATTAGAAAAAATAGTACATATTTTAGCAAAGATTATGCAAAATACCAACTATGTATCATCTCACATAAAATGAAATAAATATGCAAGCTCTGGTCTGATTTGAGATTACTATTGCAGTAGTGGTTATTGACTTAAATTTGAAATGAAATGAGAGTAATTTTGTTATTTCTTCATGTGTCATTCAGGCAATTTAATTGGAACTTGAAATGTGAACTTAAGAAACCAATTGTTGAAGTATTAAAATTAGTGATTAAATATATTTATTTTTAAACTATGATTATTGTTTCTTTGGATTTCTTACCTAAACGTTGTTTATTTATTTAGTTTTTTTATTCCCTAGTATAATCTATCCCTCTGGTAGCATAGTGGTTACGAATTGGGCTGCTAACCTCAGGGTCAGCAGTTGCAAACTACCAGCTGTTCCTCAGGAGAAAGATGAGGCTTTCTGCTCCCATAAGGCTTTACAGCCTCGGAAACCCTGTACAGGGTCGCTATGAGTCGGAAGTAACTCCATGGCACACAGCCACCACCAACACATAGTGATTGTAACATAGAAAACTCTGTGCTTTGTCACTTGGGGTTGCTATAGTTGAAAATTGAAAGAGTGACACCTAACAGCAACAAAACTTGAGTAACGTTTTAGGAAAATCTCAAATTGCCAATATGGGGCAAACAGTGTGCCTTAGTGGTATTAGATTAGTAGGGATAACAATGTAGACTTTCATGATTCCTAAATATTTGCTGCATTTAAATGTATGATTTAAGATCCTGAAATGACATCAGGAAAAGCATCTTTCCATTTCCCCAACACCTGTATTTTAAATGGATGCTTTAAACTTGATTTATTCATCAAAATTTCTTGGAGTGGATAATTATTACTATGAGTAAATGAATTATTGTCCACCATTATTTTTTCAGCAGGTAGTACTGTTTCTGGAACATTTGTCCTATATTTTATTTTTAAACATTTTTTTCTCTTCTCCAGAACAAAAACCAAGTAAATGTGGGTCATACCAAAGTGGACAAGAAGAACCTATCTCCAAATCCCATCACTTTCCCCTGGAATCATCTCCCAAGTCTAATGGTGTCATTGGAAACCCAAACATCAGATCATCTAGTTCAGAAAACTCCAACAAGGATGATAACATCTTGTCTCCTCACCCTGGGGAACAGTCAGGAGGTGAAGAGAGTCCCAGATCTTTATCTTCCTCTGATCTAGAATCAGGAAATGAGAGTGAATGGGCCAAAGACATCATTGCTCCCAGATCTTGCCTTCCCACAATGTCTTCAAGATCAAGAGACCCTCTCGACATCCTTACCAAAATTTTCCCATCTTATAGACGCAGCCGATTAGAAGGTATTCTTCAGTTCTGCAAAGGGGATGTGGTCCAAGCCATTGAGCAGGTCTTAAATGGGCGAGAACACAAGTCAGACCCCAGGGAGCTAGCATGCGCAGGAGGATCTGGGCCTACAACCTTTCCGAGAGCTTCTAACTTTAGTCTAGCTGGAATTGGTTTTGGAACTCTAGGGAATAAATCAGCTTTCTCTCCTATTCAAACTACTTCTGCTTCATACGGAGGTGATTCAAGTCTCTACGGTCTAAGTCCTCGACTAGGCATCAGTCCATTACGACTGGTATATTCCCCTCCAGGAAGAGGGCTGTCTGGTTTTATGTCACCCCACGTAACATCTGGATTGGTGCCTGCATTACCTTTCCGGCCAGCTGTGGATTATTCTTTTTCAGGATTGATTAGGGATTCTTCATACTTTCCTAGCAAAGATTCCCTAGCTAGCAGTGGACTATATTCCAGACTGAATCAGAACAGTCGTTAATATAGCTGCTCAGTTTCCATTTCTGAAGCATTTTTAGCAGTATATGACACACACATGCACATCTACTAATGCTGTATAATATCTATGAGAATGGTTTATTAGAGCTTAAAGATGCTATTTTTTATAAGTAGTAGAATGGACTTTATATCTGAACAGATATCTTTAGCATGCATTAAGTGAAAGAAACTTTTCAACATTATTTGTGCCTTGAATGAAGCTATATCAGGAAATCTTTTTTACTTCAAACTAGCAAATTTTCTCTCTAAAACATCAGTTAATAAAATTCCTATTTTAAAAATATATGCTTTTATTGTATTGGAAAGTGGAGTACATAGTTTTAAGAGTGTTTGTGAGTGTAAAGCAATCTAGTTGTTAAGAGCTGTTGAGTCTGTTCTAACTCTCATAGGGACCCTGAATAGAGTTACCTAGGAGTGGCTCGTGGGCTTGAACCACTGACCTTATGGTTAAAGTGATCCAAGAGAAAGAGTTGGAAAATTGAGATAATACTAAATAATAATTATTTTTAAATGTTTTCTCTTCTGTTTCTTGTTCACAGGAGAAAATAAAGCTATTCAAAGTATTCTAAAACTATTTTATTTGAATATATGTGATCGGTTGTCATAAAAACCTTTAGGTAATTTGAGTTTCTTAATTTTCTGAATATCTTCTTTTTATTCTCATTTGCCAATTGTGATATAACAAGCACCATTACCTTTTTTCTTTTCTTTAAAATGAACATTGAATTGAGAAAAAAATCTTTGAAAGTAAGATTGCGCCATCTCCTGGTCACTATCACTAATTGCAACTCAGTTCTTGTATTGAAAGAAAAAGCAGACTCATTGCCATGGAGTGTATTCCAACTCATAGCAAGACTGTAGAGACTTTAAATCTTTAAAGATGAGGCTTTCCCCTTGAAAAGGCTGATGGATTTTGACTACTGACTTTGTAGCTAGCAGTTCAGTAGCTATCCTAGAGCACCACTCAGGCTCAGTCAAGTATAGTAAATAGGAACTAATGGTTTCTAATGGCAACTACCACCCTGTTGTTATTTGTTATATTTCAAGTGCCGTCAAGTCAATTCCAACTCATAGAGACCCTGTATAGGATTTCTGCTGGTGAGCTTGAACTGCTGGCCTTGAGGTTCAAACCGACGTTGCAGTCCAGTGCATTAACCCACAACATCACACCAGGACTCCAATTACTACCCTGGAACTAGTGACTTCTAATACGAACTCATGGTTTCTAATGGTAACTAATACCCTGAAGCTAGTGGTTTCTGATAGGAACTAATAACTTCTAATGGTAACTACTCCCTCCCCCCCCCCCCAGTGGCATAGTGGGTTATGTGTTGTTTTGGCTGCTAGCTGTAATGCCAACATTTGAATCCACCTCCCACTCTTCAGGAGAAAGATGAGGCTGTCTTCACCTGTAAAGGTTTACAGCCTCAGAAACCCCGAGAGCAGCTCTACTCTATCCTATAGGGTCTTGATGAGTTGAAACAGATTCAGTGGAGGTGGAATGGTTCTTAAATAGGGAATCTGTTTTGGAAATAGTTCTTTGGGATCACATTACATGGACATGATTTATATTATGAGGTGGACATCTACTGTGGAGGGTCATTTTAATCTTTCAGTTTGTGTATACCTCTGTCTAAGGAGCTCTGGTAGCGTAGTGGTTACAAATCAGGCAGCTAACCTCAGGGTCAGCAATTCAAAACTACCAGCTGTTCCTTGGGAGAAAGATGAGGTTTTCTGCTCCCTTAAAGAATTACAGCCTCGGAAACCCTGTACAGGGTCACTATGAGTCAGAACTGACTCCACGGTGCATAACCACCACTATACCTCTATCTAGGGAAATATTTTGTTCCATGTTTTTTTGTGAAAAGGATTTGTTACTCCTCAAAGAAAAAGATCATTTTCTTCAGAATATTAAAAGGAGAGATATAAGATTTCTAAAATGACGAATTTGTCATAAATTTTAGGTTTTTTTTTTTTTTTTTCTTCAAATATATGAGTTTAAAAAAATACTTGTTGTTTGCCATGTGGAGCTTTGGAAGGCTGCTTTTGTTATTGTTCCTGTTGTTTTTTTTCAGCCAGTGGAACGTCCCCAAGAAAGCTGCATAGAAAACAATTTTATGAAGTTTTTGGAAGTGTCCTTATTTTTGTTAAAGACAGTAACTTTATTATTGTTGTTAGGAATAAACGGGACCCCAGCTGTGCTGTAGGAGAGTTGATAAAGCAGAGATGTTTTAAACAATTTAAGCAGCATGAGTCACTAAAGGTTTTTTTTAAGTTATACTTTCTCTCACTCTCTCTTGCTCTATCAGTTCTTATGAAGCCAATAAAAATGCATTTTTAAAGTCTATTTTGCCAACAAATAGCCAGTTAAATTACTGTAAATGATCTGGTGCTGATTTAGAATGTGAATATGTTTCACAGAGTAGGCATTAATTATAGTGGTGTGAATACAAGAAAGCAGATCCTGTAAAAACTTGGTGCATTCAATATTCATTATAAAACTCAAGTATAATTCTAAGCCTAACTCATGGTATAGTGCCTGGCCCATAGTTGATATTGAATTAATATATAATGAATAAATTAATCATTTTGGGTAATAGATCTGTTGAGACTCTGATGAAACCAAAGAACTGGCCCACAGTCACATGGTTATGCATTTTATTTCATGGGGTTCATGAATTTCTGAAATGCCATTCAGGTTAGAACTCTTAGTAATTCTTAAGTTGTTTCCAGTGTATTACTTGATTTACTGAATGCCAAGGACCTCTGGTAGAGTCCTGGTGTGCCGCTGTGGGTTAATGCTCCAGACTGCAAAGCCGTTTGAACTGCAAGGTTGGTGGTTCAAGCTCATCAGCCACTCCTTGGAAACCCTATATATGGTCGCTATGGGTTGGAACAGACTCAATGACAATTCACAACAGCAACAACAAGGACCTCTGGTAGCATAGTGGCTACGAGTCAGGCTGCTGATCTCATAGTCAGCAGTTCGAAACTATCAGCGGTTCCACAGGAGAAAGATGAAGCTTTCTGCTCTCGCAAAGATTTATAGACTCAGAAACCCTATATAGGGTCTCTCTATGAGTCAGAACCAACTCCACGGCACACCACTAACAGTTATTTCAAGTCCTGTGCTAGATCCTATGAAAGTTACTGAATGTAAAATACTGTGCTCTCAAGGAAGTTACATGACAAAGATCTGGTTTCATAACAACAATGCTGTAATTGCTGGACTCTATGTGCTTTAGATCATTATGCATATGTATGTGCTTGAGAAACTTGATTACTTTAGAACTGAAAAGAACATCTATTTTTGGAATTACTCAAATTTATAAAACTAAAACCTTAAAAAGTTTTTATAAAACTTTATACATAAAAGTTATATATAAAGCTTTATGCCCTTAGCATGCTTTACAATAATTTTAAAGCTAAAAGAACCTTGTAGAGTTAGTCATTTTGTCCAACCATTTAATTGCTTGTGAGGAAACAGAGGCTCAGAAGTCACGTTGTGCTACCCCCAAGTTACAGAACTAGTGCAAGTCATAGAAATGCAAGTTGTTGGCTTCACTAATTTAGTTGGATTATGAAGGAGTTCCTGGGTGGTACAAATCTTTACCATACTTTGCTGCTCACCAAAAGTGTGGAGGTTTGAGTGTACCCAGAATCACTTAAAAAAATTGTAAATAAAAATCTACTTCTGAACCATTGAAAATCGGTTGGAGCACAGTTCTATTCCTACACATAAAACGGACTCCTCAGCAACTGGTTGTTGTTGTTAAGTGTCGTCGAGTTGGTTCTGACCCATAGCGACCTTGTACAGGGTTTCCGAGGGTGTAAATCCTTACGGGAGTAGAAAGCCTCATCTTTCTCCTGTGGAGTGGCTGGTAGTTTCGAATCGCTGACCTTAAGGTTCGCAGCCCGATTCGTAACCACTGTGCTACCAGAGCTCCTTCTGCAACTGGTGGAGGTGGTGAATATGGTCTTGATCATTCAAAGCTTTGATATACAGTATATTATAGGTTCTTAGTTTATTGTTTTCACTGAATGAAATAAAAGATACAATGAATTAGCTCAAGAATTCATTCAACAGCTATTATAAGGTGCCTGCTTTGTGGTAGACACTGTGCCAGACACGGAATAAAGAGATCAATAAGACCAAGAACCACTCCTCAGGTTGCTTACAGTCTACATTGTCATGAGTCCTAAACACAACTACCAACCACTGTTAGTACTACTTGACTATATTGTACATCAGCGAGTTCTTTATAATCTTGATATTTATGTTTAGAGGTAGTTTTAGGACAAAACTCCTAAAACACTAATTGGGGGTGAAAGGGAAGAGGGTTAACATCTGTTTTCATATTTTGTGTAGGGAAGTCTATCCCATTGTTTTGAGATACCAGGTTCATGATGAAAGAAGATGATAGAGGAGGATTCTGTCCACTTCTATGGAATCTGGTGTGGAATAATAGGTAGTCTTAGAAAATGGGTTAGAGTTGAGGGGATCATTGAAGATGTGTGTTGATTTCTACCTTTTTTTAGTAGCTGTTTTGGGAGATCGTTGAATTTTAAGCAGTAAGTCTTCCCCTTATTAGAGGTCTTGCTGAACAGATCCATGTGCATGTGCAGTAGGGCCCTCCATGGGTGTGGGTATCCACTCGCTCAGGAATCCCCTCTAGTCACCAGAGTGGAGGCACACAGACAGCGAGAGACCAATGAACAGAGAGCAAAAAAGAATGTCCACACCTTTATCTCTAAGGATCAGTAAGACTTCTGCAGTGGGAGCACTCCTCTGATCTTTAACCTGCTTCATCATACCCAAGATGGCTGCTCCAGGAGCCACTGGGAGCCGCAGATCAGAAAAGAACACCTTTCTTGCTTCTGCTACAAATTCCACTGGCTGTAAGACTTCAAACTTTCTAAATATTTCTTTAGTTCAGAGTTCTGGGACTGTTCCATGAACCTTCTTCATCCAGTATTCTGTGT